CTCTGCGCTGCACCCTGCAGCTGCCGCCACTCTGCATACAGCCGTTCCTCTTCTTCCTCCCCCCCCCCGCTGGGTTATTTCAGATAACCAGAGTTTTTAGTGTATACATAACCGGCAGTCCCCTTACCCTGGGGATGCTGGTTAACAGAGATTTTACTGTATATGCCAGTCCTTAAGTCAAAGCCACAGAGAGCCAGGGAATGTGAGGGACTGAAAAACCAGGATTCTCAGTTAGGAGCCTGGGCTCCCCCCTTATTCTGGAAGCCAAATCTAGTCTGCTTTGGCAGTACCCTCAAAGACCAGACAAGGCCACAAGAGTCCTGAACAGGTATCCCTTGTAAGGCTCACTGTGACTGGTTCTGTTTAATTGTGCATTAAAGAGGACTATTAAAGAAGAAATGCTATCTTCACATTTTCAGTTGAGTTGAAGTTTTTACCATAGAACTAAAATCTCATAACCCTGTTTCTAAATTTGCAGTGCATTATATCTGATGAGACCAGCAACAGTGATAATCTGTGTGGGTAAAAATATTGGTCATAGGACCTGTGCAACTTTTCAGTAAGTAAATGAGTGAAATGGGAAAGAATTGCCCACTTCATAGGTACTTCATAGTTTTTTGGACATAATTACCCCAATAATGTAAGATACAACAATGGATTTGGGTCTGTCTTCAAACACTATTTATTTTATAATGTGAATTAAATGTTTATGTTTCTGGTTATCCCTTGTAGTATTAGTTGGCATGTGTTCATATCTCTCCAAGAGCTCTCTGGAAAAGATTTGCATGAGGTAAGGTTAAATGTACAGAATCGAAGGAATGAAAATACCTCTTGGTTGTGACACTGGACTAGGATTTTAGGAAATTTAGGTTCTGTTCCCAGCTCCTTCCAAAACATTGTATATGTAGTAAGGTCATTGTTTCAGTTCTTTGGTATAAAATGAGATAATGATAATGATAAAATGAGATCAATGCTTTGATCTCCTAAATGTATTGGGCTCATTTAGTCAGTCTTTGTGGTCTTCATGTTTTATATGGTTGGCTGTCTGAATGACCCGTATTGCTGTTGACAACGTGAATAATTTAGAGAAGCTTTAGGCTCTAATTTACATGGAAATACAGTTGACACCCAAACAACTTAAAATTCTCTATACATTCCTGAGTGATGCTTAGTACTTTTTTTATCACAATTGAGGATCAGAACCTCAAAAAATGTTTTGCATTTTTCCCCTTCAAATTGAAGCGTCTCATCTCATGCAATCCTGTCTTCAAAAAAAAAAAAAAGGTTTTCTTTGGATTGAACTTAGTGTTATGGGTATTGGAAATGTAGAGCCTGTTGAGGGGACAGTTTATTTGGGGTTGTTCCTTATCTATTTAGCTGATTTGGTAATCTATACATGTTATCCAAAGTTCAGGAAGGTTTCCTTATGCCACAGGTCAGTTATATTTTGTCACCCCAAGCCAGAGTTGGCAACTCAGCTCCTTTCCACACACCACAAATCTCAGCATAGCTACATGCCACTTCTGCTTTGTGCTGCCTTGAGCCAGATCCAACCTCTTTGTGGGTCAGATGAGCATGGGGCCATAGGCTGCTGACCCCTGCCTTATACAGCCAACAGTATAATCTAATGATTTTTCTTCTGAGCTGGTTTTAAAATGCAACATTCAATATGCTTAATCATATGCTCTTTTTTACAATTCTTAATTTTTATGGTAATAACATGGAAGTAACTTGAGAATGTGAAGAAATCTTAGTGGTGCAGTGACACAGCAAAAATTTATTATAAGATCTTAAGCGTCGTGCTGGGGCAGACCAGTGGTCCATCTCGCCTAGTATCCTGTTTCCAACAGTGGCAGTAGTGGGTGCTTTAGAGGAAGAGCATATGAACTGGGTAGATTTAGAGTGATGTATTCCCTGTTTACTACCCTCTGTGGTATCCATTGTCATTGTTTAGAAAACACATCCCTGACTTTCTGTTTAATAGTTATTAATTGACCAATCATGCATGAACTTGTCTAGTCCCTTCTTGAATGTATCTGCCTCTACAATCTTCCATGGTAATGAGTTTCATGATGTGCTGCGTTTAAAAAAAAAAAGGAAAAAAAAAGTGCATTTGCATGTTAGTTTTAAACCTGTCTCATGCCAGTTTTAGTGAGTGCCCCCTTAGTATTCTGTTACCTGGTGAATAACAGTTCCCTATTCACTTTGTCCATGCCCTTCATGATTTCATAGACCTGTATATCATAGAACCTCCTCCTTTGCAAACTGAAGAGTCATAGGTTGGAAGGAACCTCAGGAGGTCATCCAATCCAACCCCTTGCTCAAACGAGGACTGTCCCCAACTAGATCATCCCAGCCAAGGTTTGGTCTTAAAAACCTCCAAAGATGGAAATTCCACAGCCTCTCTAGGGAGCCCTTTCCAGTGTTTTACTATTCTCCTAGTGAGAGAGTTTTTCCTAATATCTAACCTAAACTTCCCTTGCTGCAACTTGAGACCTTGGGTCCTTGTTCTGTCATCTGCCAACACTGAGAACAGTCTAGCTCCATCCTTTTTGTAACCTTCCTTCAGGTAGTTGAAGGCCCCCCAGTCTTCTCTTCTCCAGACTAAATGTGAGACCTAGTCGTTTTAGTTTTCCCTGGTATGGCAGCTGCTCTGTAACCGTGATCATCTTAGTGGCCCTTCTCTGAACTTTTTCCAGTTCTGATATATCCTTTTTGATGTGGAGACCAGAGCTGCACACAGTATTCAAAGTGTGGGCACACCAGGGATTTGTATAGTAGCATGATAATTATTCTTCATTTTGTTTTCGGTTCCATTCTTAATGATGTCCAACATTTTATTAGCCATTTTGGTCACTGTCCCCATTTGAGCTGATGTAGTTAAAGAAGCATCTACAATGTCTCTTTCCTGAGTCATAACAGTGAGCTCAAAACCCAGTATCCTGTATACAAATTGAAGTCTTTTTTTCCAGGTGCATTGTGTTGCACTTCCCAACACTGAAGTTCATTTGCCTTTTTTGCCCACTAATTTGTTGAGATCTTCTGCAGTTCCTCTCCATTATCTTGGAATTTGACTACCTGAAATAATTTAATCTCATCTGAAAACTTAGAGATTTCATTGTGCATCCTCATTTTCAGGACATTGATGAAAATGTTGAAAACAACCAGGCCCAATCCATATCCGTGTGATTTCCCCATCTTTACCCTCCCTCCATCCCGGATAATGGCCATTTAACTTTAACCTTTGCTTCCTATCTTTTCACAAGCTCTCAGTCCCTGAAAGAACCTGTGGAAACTCAGTTATTTTTTTTAAAAGCCTATAGTGAGGGACTTTGTAAAAAGCATTTTTGGAACCCCCTTGTCCACATACTTAACAGTAGCAGATTGGTGAGGCAGTATTTCCCTTTACATAAACCATGATGACTCTTCCCCAGCACATTATATTCGTCCACTATTTTATTCTTTATTATAGATTCTACCAGTATGCCAGGGATGGAAGCGAGACTCAGGTCTGTAATTCAATAGCAACTCTGGAGCCCTTTTTGAAGATGGGTGTTATATTGGCAACTGCCTACCCTCTGGCACAGAGGCAGTTTGTAATGATAAGCTACATACTATTGATGACATTTTGTTTGAGTTCCTTCAAATTTTTTGGGTGGATGCTGTCCATTCCTAGAAGCTTATTAGTATGTAATTTATCAATTTGTTCTAAAACTTCTTCAATTTTTCTCTTCAGTGTGATTCACTCTTCAGACCTATCTACTAGAAATAATTGATCTGGTATGAGAATTCTCCCAATATCTTGTGCAGTAAAAGCTGATGCGAATAATTTATTTAGTTTCTTTGCCATCCTTATCATCCCTGAGCATATCTTTTAAACCTTGATCATCTAATGGTCACAATTCTCCCACTGGCTTCCTGCTTCTGATGTACTTAAATAAGTTTTTTATATTAACTTCAATGTCTTTTGCAAAAAAGATATATTTAGCGTCATTCCAAAAAAATGGAATACATTTGGAAAAAAACCTCAATATACTGAGTTGATTAAAAAAAGACACATGACTAAAACATTACAGTTTTTGTCCTGTAAATGTGTGTTGCAAGTCTGTTTCATGTTACTATCTCAATAAGGTTATACTTCATAAAACATAACACTTTTAAAAAACAATAGGAGAGGATAGAAAACAATTTCAGTATTGGACTACAAATCAAGAATTTATATGTCCTGATGCATTTTTGAATCCTAACTGTAAGATTGCAATGTAATAATGTGGAATTTGAGGCGCTGAGGAGAGAGAAATTAGAAAAAGCCAAATATTTATCTTGGCATTAAATCCTGTGTGTTGCTTTTCTGTATGCAGATTTTGTTTCAAAATAAGCAGGGCTCTCAATGAATAAAAAAAAGACTTGTAGTTAATGCACCTATATTTGTGAGGGTTTGGCCAGGTCATAGGTGGCTATTCCTGAGAGGCTGCTAGGGGAAACCTGAGGATCAGCAGAATGGGGACACAGGTTACCAGCAGTCCAAGACAAGCTGAGGTCAGGAGCCAAGAGTCAGAGAACTGGAGGTGAGTTCCAAAGAGGATCCAAGGTCAGGTTCCAGGAAGTCAAGCTGAGTCAGGATGCGGGGGAAACCAGAGTGAGTAGGGCCAGTGCTGAGAGTCAGGGGAGATCCAAGATCAGGGTCAGAAAAGCCAGAACTGAGAACTGGAGGGCAGTGAACATGAGGCCTGATGGAACAGACTGAGGCTGTGTGAAGGCATGCCTGCACCCTGAGGCTGAAGGTGTGCTTATAAAGGATAAGTAGCACTTTCAGTAGCTAATCTGGCTGCAAAGAACTTGCAGAACTTGTATTAGCCAGGGATTAGGGACAGGTGTGGTAGCTCAGGTACTTAGCCTAGCTAGGCATGCTCAGAGGCCCTGACAGTATTGCTGCAAACACAAGTGTTTGGTGCAACAGAACTTTACAGACTATCTTTATTTTTTTTTTTCAATTATAGGTTCTGCTCTTGTGAAAGAGAAGAGAAGACATCGATCTCACAAGTTTTTATGTCTCAGAATTGGGAGGCCTATGAGAAAAACATTTGTATCTCAAGCAAGTGCAACAATGCAGCAGTATGCACAGAGAGATAAGAAACATGAGTACTGGTTTGCTGTTCCACATGAAAGGTAAGAAGAGATCAGAATGTAAAATTAACAGCTTTCCCGTATCAACGTAATCTGCCATATCTTCCTCTACATCCAGCTTTTCTCTCTTCTTTGTATCGGCATAATAAAGGGCAAATCTCTACAGGCATCCCAAGCATTACGGGCCTTAGATCGGGGTGTCAGACATGTGACCCATAGGCTGGATTCAGCCCATTAAGCCATATCATCCAGCCTCTGATGCTGCTCGTGGGTCTTCTGAGTTGACCCACAGGTGGCATACAAAGCGTGTCTGATGTCCCTGAGTGTTCACAGAGTACCCCCTCCAGCTTATGTCCCAGAGCTGTGGAGCAGCTGTCATATACGGCACAGTCCTGGAGTAGCTGGAGCAGGACCATGCCACACACAGTACCCCTCTGGCTGCTCTAGGACATACGCTGGATCTGGAATATACATATGGTCTGAGTTCAGTGTGACCCTGCACCACTCCTCTGATCTGCAGGACTGGATCAGTTTGATAGCTCTGCCTTAGATAAACCTAACTTGGCCCATCTGACTTGGTACTAAATTTCTTCTCACAGGCAGTGGGCATTTATATATGTGCTCTGGGAGGCATGGGAGGTGGCGGGGACGGCAGTGCTTTAATTAGCACAGCTCCAAGAGGGCTTATCAAACAAGCTTTAGTTTAAAGCACCCCGCTGCTATTTTTCAACACAGGGATGCTGATATATGTGACCCTGGAGGCTGCTGGAGTGTAATAAATTCAACATTCCAGGAGACTTGATCAAGTCTGCTCCAACGTGCTGGACTTACACCACATTGGAGCAGGCTCCCTGCACGTGTATAGGAGCCCCATGTGCCTTAGACCTGGGGTATGCAACATTTTTGACTGGAGTGCTGAAAAAGTGCAGTATCTACCTTGTAAGATGCTGGAGTACCAGCATGCCAGAAAGACAAAACCGGGGCAGGAAGTACATGGTAGGACACACTGCATATTAATATAATTAGTAAATGTTGCTTTTTTTTTTCTTCACAGTAAATACCAGGTTTTCAAAAAAATTCTAAACCTGGTGAGAATAAATAACTTCATATGCTACCTTTGTACTTGTGTATTCTTGTTTTGTTAAGCATGTTGTGATGGGGGGGGGGGGGGGGGAAAGGGGCAAGAAGGGAAAAA